ACCTAACTTATTCCTCATATGAGCCCCCGAATCCAGCTTGCCTCTGGCTCAGAGCAGAGCAGGCTATATACTGATGACACACTATGCCATGAGCCAAGTCACTTGCAACAGAGCCAGCTGTCGGCCCAGGGTCCCCAACACATTCTTAGAAAAAGTAAGTTAAATATGTGAGCTCTCCATAGGCTGCCTTGAGAAACTTGTGTTTGTGAGCTCCGGAAAGCCCCACACACTGCAAGTTAGATAAGGAACAGTCCATTTGAGCCTATGGGCAGAAACACTGCCTGTAGTGGAAAATAAATTCTGAATTCAGAGGCCTGTCTGAATTCTGGAGTTTGCCATGGGGCTCCAGGAATCAGCTGCATGAAATCCCCATGAATATCCACTGCATAGGGGGAAACTTGCTGTCTGGTTTATGGGACAGAACTCTAACCACATTTAAAAAACTAACCCAGTTTTGAAAAGCTGGTCCTCTGGGCGATATATAACAATGACAGCATTAATAGCCAATAGCTCAGTGGCTCCCAAGGGAGGGGGAAAAAAAAAAAAAAGAAAAGAGAGAGAGAGATTCATGGCCAAATTCCACCTGACTTCAGACCATGCAGCAGAACCATCTGAGGGCAACTATACCCAGCCTTGAACCAGCCAGACCTCAGCACATGAAACATACCCTTTGGTCCTCCAAGGCGGATCTGGAAGCATCTTCATTTGTGCACAATAGTTGCCTCAAGTTTTCTATACTTTCCTAAAATCAGATATCAAGAAATCAAGCAATGATCTCAACATTGTTCAGGTTTATCCCCAGATGGAGGAATCACCAACTCACTCACCAGCATGCACTGGACTTCAACTGCATGCCTGATTTCAAGCCACATGGTGCCCTAGGCTCTCCACCCATTAGGATAGTCCTCAGTGCCACGCAGATTTAGGCCTTTCTCTTCCTAGATGCTCCAGCAGCTACCTGCAATGGTGCTGTCACCTCTCCCACTCTCTGATGTCAACTGTCTCACTAAATGGTGCCACCATCCCCTGGCTGTGCATGTCAGAAACCCGGAAGTCCTCCCTCACCCACTTCCATGTCTAATCAGTTCAGTCTTATTTCCTCTCTCTTTTTCTTTCTTTTCTTATTTTTTTTTAAGAGACAGGGTCTCACTGTATTGCCCAGGCTGGAGTGCAGTGGTGTGATCACAACTCACTGCAGCCTCAAACTCCTGGGCTTAAGTGATCCTCTTGCCTCAGCCTCCCAAGTAGCTGTGACTACAGGCACAACCCACCTACACTTGGCTAACTTTTAAAATTTTTATTTGTACAGCTAGGATCTTGCTACCTTGCCCAGGCTGGTCTCAAATTCTTACTCTTGAGAGATCCTTCCATCTCAGATTCCCAAAGTACTGGGATTACAGATATGAGCCACCACAGCTAGCCTCCATTTCTTAATTTGAGAAAAAAATAATTAAATACAAAGAATGGCCACACACTATAATCCCCTCACCCAGAATTAACAACTGTAAACATTTGGTTATATTTGCTTCTAA